GCTGTGAAATGGTCTGGTCCTACATGGCCTACACTAGGCAGGCATTTAGCAATGTGCTTTGTATTTTGGTAAATAAAAAAAATCGTCTACCTGTACTCTAGGTCTGCCATCGTGGCTTCATTTATTACAGCCTATTTTGAACAATGATTAAGGTATAAATTACAAAGATTTCGAACTTCCACCACACAACAACGAGGACCGAGGTGACATGAGTGTGTTGCATGACAATTGTGGTAAAGACAAGCCAAACCAGTCACTCGTCGCGAAAATGGATTTTGAGTTATTAATACAGTAAAATAATAGCTATAAAATGGTAAAAAAATCGTTCAAATCCGACGTTTCCTTCTGAAGTTACAAGCATTTAAGCGTACAGCTGTTTGAAGAACAATATATGAGAAATCAGCCTTCAAAGTTTATGATTTCAGGCATTTCTCATGCAGAAACTATCATAAAATCATTAAAAAGTGTTGTTTTAACATTGAATTTTGGAAAAATAACAGCACAGCATGATGTATAGATACATAAACCTTAGTTTAGTGAAATAAAATAGATTAAAAAAAATTTTACATTCTAGCATGTTTTTGCTATTTTCTCTGAAACACAATTTGCAACGAGTGACTGGTTTGGCTTGTCTTTGCCACAATTTGTGAACCATGTATTTAACCTACTTGGCATAAAAAAATATACCAGTGAGCCAATTAGGCAAGGCAAGGCCATCTGCCTAGCTAGCTCTCACATGCTTCTCAGATTCAGATAGGCTAGACCTTCAATTGTTTTCATGTCTCGCTCTGCATGTTTGCTACAATAGGCCTTTATCATCCAGTAATTTGCAGTATTAGTGCGGAGTTTTAGCTGTGGATATACGTTGTGCATTGATGAGAGGTGGCCAGGACTTTCACATGCACGTAACTGTTTCGTAAATTACATCTCCAACTAAGTCCTTGTTAGGCCCGATTGTGCGAGTCTCACACCAAATGCGTAGGACTTGGTAGGTCTGAAGTTAGTGAATTTTTTGAGTTTGTGGCTACTTACTTTGTTGCTTCTCTGCATCCTGGAAATAGGTAGTGCCCCAGTGACTGGAGTATAACTATATACAGTAATAATGAATCAAAGTATGATGATATGCGCTTTAAAGACGTCATGTAGAGTATGTACATTATAAGTCAGTCTACTACTATTATTACCTCCTTTGCTGAATATTGTATGTATATACTATCAAACACAATTTAGGCTTTTAACTAAAATTGTCGTTGCTTTTTTTTTCAGAGCTTTCTATTTATTTACATCACAAGCCCGATGCCTGATTTACGTCGGTTTGACAGTGAAAAATATTTTTTAAATCCTAACAATGGAAATGAGAAAGTGCCCTTCCCAAGTATAGATGACCCTCCGAGTGTCGAATTGTCGGTTGTTGTACCTTCATATAATGAAGAAGAAAGACGTAAGTAGTACTAACATGGCCTGATACAGTAATATTAATAATTTTTATAAATTCTGCAGGCCTCAAATTTAACCAAGGCCAGTGCTTCTGGTTCCTTCTCAATTGGCTTGTATGCCCTAGAAAAATTACCTCTGTTGAGGCCAGCTTGGCCTTAGTACCATAAGAAGGCAGTAAGTGTTATTTTATGATACACTGGCATTGATGCCTTCTTTTCAATGGTGCCCTTAATCATGGCAAAAGAGGTCTTGCCCTAAAAAGCCAATATTCTAGGCTTGATACTGTAATTTGATGTTAGGGTCTGCAGTGTCATATGAGTTCTCACTGCCTAAAGCCAGGGCCCCATAATCCCGAGATGTTAATCAGCAACAACAAACAAGATAAAGGATGGCAAAAGAAAGAAGGAACATAGGAATAAAGAAAAATAGAACAAATAAAAAAAGGACAGTCAATAAGATGATGGCAAACTTTATTAGCAAAATTTAGTTGTTAAAATTTGTTAGCTGTTAAAATTTGTTATTTTTATTATTCGAAAACTCACAGGGATTTAAGCACACCCTTAGATTTTATGTTAAATTGTTTCATATTACCAGTCAGTCCTTTGAAAGATGACATTTTAAAAAGTTGTGTATATGACAGTAAAAAAATACGGAGACACATTTGATATTAGTGATTTATTGTATCTTTGTGAATGCATAGTGTGGAAATCAAAACTTTATTAATTAACATTATTTTTCTCTTTTTTTCAGTACCAATTATGCTAGATGAGGCTCTTTTGTATCTTGAAAATCGCCAAGTAAGTTTGTTTGACTTTTATCTTGCTGACTTTTACATTGTCTCATTTTGCGCAAAACATAGGATAGAGTCATAGTTAAAGTTTTTTCTTTTTTTTCTCTTACACTAGCATTATAATATAGTTTTAGAGATCGAGCTTTAAAACAGTGCATTCAACAAATAGTATTTAGCCAAGTTTGAGGTAAACATTAAATCTTCTGTGTATTTATGCCCCGATGCAAACAGCAGTGTGATATTGCCTAGGTAAAATTAACAATCAGTCTATTGACCTAACATGGTCTTGGTTAGACTTGCCACAAGTCTCTTATTTTTTATTATTTTTCTCATTCTGGACAGCGCCACCAACGAGAAAGTTAATTTATAGACGGAATAAGCGACTTGTAAAACACTGAAATCAGGCACCAGGATGCCAAAAGAATGACGTAATCTTATATTCCGTATTTGAATAAACAATTTCAACCAATCAAATGTTCATATTTTTGGAGCCACGAAACTGAGTCACTCGCGTCGACTAGTTAGGCCATAGGTCAATGGTTAGGCATGACTAAATTTAAATAGTCTTCCCTAATAAAACGGGCCTAAAATATTTAGAATAGACCCTAGTAAGACTAATGGCAAAAACAATTAAGCTAAGACTAGATGGCATACATACAAATACAACAAAACTTTAACTTTCCAGTAGGATGGTTCAGGCCTCGTCTGGAGTCTGGTAGCAGGCCTAGCCTAGACTAGTAGAGGCTTGGCCTATTTTTAAGTTCTTACTGACAGAGGCCTACCTTTTTAACAATATTCTACCCTAAAGGCCTAAATCTGTGTAGCAGCTAGTGGTGAGCAAGATTCCAAGTAGGCCTATAGCCTACGTTATCAGTCCATGTCGTTCTTAGCAGGCCAGAACTATTATACTAACTGTTTTAGTTCAAGTAGGTAGCCAAAAGGGAGCTGGAGCTTGTTCTAGTCGAGACATCCGCATCTTCAATTTTGAAAATTTACCAAGATTGATTAATATGCATGAAGTTAGCCAATCACGTGATTTACAAAATCAGTCATGCATACGATATCCCACATCAAATTTGATGTGGGAAATCGTACGCATGAATCGTTTGCCCAGGCCCTAATTCGAAAAAAAAGAAATCGAGTATGGAACGCCAATTAAATTAGGTATGGTGCGCACTAAGTGCAATAAAGAGTGAGTAACCTAAAATTAGGGCCTGGAACCCAGGCTAGGTCTTGGTCAAAAAGGATTTTATTTAATTTATTTTTTCCCTGTTATAGTAACTCATGTTTTTACCTTTTTCCCCATAAATACTGTTCCAGAGTCTTTTGTAATTTTTTGTTTTAAAAGGCTTACTATATTTATTTTATATATAATTGTAAATAAAAATGTTATATACCTTATTAAATATTAAATATAAATAAATAATCAAGTAATATGTATATAGTAGTATTCTGAGGCATGAATTAATGAATAAATAAATATGAATTAAATTAACATTAATATGATTATAATTCTCATTTTTTTTACATTTTTATGTATATTTATGTGATGTTTTTAAATGTTTTTTCCTACCTTTGTTAACTTCAATTTTGATTTATAATGAGAGATTGCAATCAAGTTCCTCGTGTTGGTATTTCATATTTCGTAAAAATTAATCCAATGTGATTCTGAAAACAGTATTATATAGAGGTTTCTATTCAGCTTTTAAATGTTAATTATATTATTTTCTGTTTAATTGCAGAAAGAAGATTCCTCTTTTACTTATGAAATTATAGTAGTTGATGATGGTAGCAAAGATAAAACATCAGAGGTAAGTCAGTGTTATTGCCTCAATCAGTTGACACTTTGACTGCCAAGCCCTTTCCTTAGTTCCATCCCATATGCCAAGGCAAAGGGCACCACCATTTCCATCAACACAAACAAACATATGGTATTTATTTTTAGATCATTATCTGAACTTCCAGGGTGAGAGTTTGTGTTCTGGTGACCACTGCCACCATGTAGTATGCTAGGGAGCTTTCGATTTGTGCGACAACACGACACTAGAATGGAATCACTCATGCGTAACTGTCCTACATAGTGTCCTACGTTTTCTGCATACGTAGATTTGTCCAAATTGCGTTCCAGAATCTACTCGATGAGGTGACCTTACTATCATGCGCAGATGAATTTTAGTGAGGTCATTACGTTCTACGCCCTACCGTTGTCGTGCAACCAAAACCTCCCTAATAGTTTTATGTTTGAAGGTGTGGACGTGAACTTTACATCCTTGGCGCTTTGAGTGAACCATTTTGGACGTGAACTCGCGTCCGTGGCAGTGAACTTGTTAATGTGTAATTTATTTAATTTTGCCCACAAGGGAAAATGGCAAACAGTTAAATCCTAACTAAAAAGAATTTTCACTACACACATTACGTATTAATTGTAGAGGAATACTTTGATATTTAATATTTTTGAAATTGCTCTATCTTTCACAGATTCAGCATTTCCTTACACAACTTTGAAAACATTCATTAACAAAATTTTATGATATTTTCCTCGCATTCTATTTTAGGTTGCATTAGAATATTGTAAGAAATGGAGCGTTGGCAAGATACGAGTACTCACACTAGCTCAAAATCGAGGCAAAGGCGGTGCAGTCAGGCTAGGTGTTTTCAGCTCTAGAGGGCGACAAATTCTTTTTGCTGATGCTGATGGTGCTACTAAGTTTGCAGACTATACAAATGTTTATAAAGCTTTGCAGGATTTACTGAAGAAAGGAGTATGAACATGTTATTGTGTTTAATAATACAGGTTTCCCACAAATTAAAGAACACTTTTCTGCAGTTTAAGGCATATATATA